GGACTTTAGGCGGTTTTGTTGATGAAGTTCTCACCCCAGTTTCATTCATATTAAAGATCATATCTGGAGCGATAGCCTATTTTTCTATGACTTCTTCCAAGAGAAAATAACATCTGTTGACAGCTTATTGATTAAACCCTTTGACTCTAGTTATGGATGTCGATTCAGGTGGTCTCAATGTTAATGACGGATGACGAAGTTTAAAATTTTTGAACCATCCTTTCCCAGCTATATTGCTAGAAAAAACTCTAGGTTTCCCCTTAATTCTAGCAAATTCCCCAGCAATTTGCATAAACTCAGTTCGTGTAAGTCCATAAAAAAGAAAATCCATTTGGTGGGCATATTTTAAAAGTACTTCTTCTTCCTCCAGCGAAAAAATAGCTTCAAAGCAGCCCAGTTTGTTTTTTGAAGTTACTTTGCTCAAATGTCGATGCAAAGTTGCAAACGGGATATCGTACATTTTGCTTGCTTTTAATATTGATGTCTTCTTTTCTTCTTGCATGATCTTCTTAGAGTTTTTCTCTGACCAACTGGCATGATCTACTTTTCTTTTATAGCTATAAACCATCTGCAACAAGTACCCAGTAAAAAATTTTGCGTCATTGCGTCAAAAAACTTAGTGTTAAAAATTTTTGTGTTCAATATTTAACACTATTATGTGTAAATTTAACATTTATTCTGTTGAATCTACACCAAAAAGTGTTAAATATTGAACACAAAATTTTTTGACGCAATGACGCAAAAATTTTTACTGTGTACACTATCTTAAATACAATATTTAAAAGTTTTTTTTAACATAACTTCAACATTTTACGTCGAATCGTTTGGTAGGTAATAAATAATCCTTTTTTCGCTTGAAAAACTGCGTTGAATGCTACAAGTTCCATCAAAAACGATTGATTGGATCAGAAGGCATCGCAATTTAAAATTTTCAAAAAAGTATGTTTTCAACAAACATTAAATTTTCGAGCTTGAAAAAGTATGAAAGTTGTGTTTTTAAGCTCGGAATAGATAATTTGTCAAGAGATGGCCTCCAGGGTCAACCGTTTTTCAGACTTTTTTTTTGGGGGGGTTTTAAAAACATGATTTATTTGGTGAACTCGAACTACGAATTGCCCAAAAACAATAAACGAAAATATTGATGGATAGAAAATTTATGAAGTATTTATTTCTTATGCTAACGGTTTCGTTGACTGGAGATTTTTTCAAGTAATTAAATAATCGAAAGCTGATAAGGAAAGTCTCGGTAGAACCTCTCGAGAACTGAAAGATTTATTCGCAGCGAACAATACGATGGGAGGTATCATGAAACTTAAATCACTTTTTTCCAATTTTATCCGTTGGTACATCCGAGGCCAATTTATTTCAGTAAATATCGCATAAAAATAGTAAAAAGTCTATAATTTAAAATTACTCAAACTTTATATTTATTTTAGTTTTCGCATTCTTATTAATAAATAATAATTGATTAACGAGAAAAAAATATTACTAATTGTACAAATACTAAATTCCAGGAAAATTGACAATTTTTTAAGGTAATTAACATTTCATCATTAACAACCAACGTTAATTGTTCGCTTTCAGGGCAGCATACCTCTCAAACATCAAGAGACGAATAAAAAGCCGACGTTGTTCCGTGTTATTGAAAAAATATATGAACCACGTTGCTTTGTTTCAGGCATATATAGAGGAAGGTAACCATCTGTAATTATTCTAGCTCATTGAAGTTAGAGTTTTTATGTTTTGTATACGTTTAATTTTGCGTTAATTAAAACAACATGACAAATGACTCATAGTCTGGGCAAAAAGCTTATAATTTATAGTGTTCTAAATCTCGGTGCATGGTAATTAAAAATTTTTTCAATTCAATAATCTAGTTGTTTTAATGAACTCTTAGGTGCGGTAATTCAGAAATTTAATTAAAAATATTAAATTTAATGCTTTATATTATTTAAAACATAATTTCATCGAGCAACGAAGTATCCCGTCTATCTCTTCAATCTTTTAACGCTATTCTATTTGTTATTCGTTCGATAGTCTGAATCTTTTGTCACTGATGTTCTTTTTTCCTCTTTGTATCGCGCAAGTTTGTAATAGCCATTGATTTCGCGAATTGCTACGGGCAAAACCCGTTCCCGTTTCTATTGAAGCTCAACTAGATGATCCTAAAAAGCAGACCGCAAATTTATATTGTAATTCAAGTTTTTTGCATTTTATTTATCATAGTTAGTAAAAGAGCGAAGAAACTAAAGGTCATTTTAACAAACGAATATTAATAAAAAGAATTTCAAAACGGTTGACCTTATAGACATTTATACATTGATAGAAAATCAATCTTGATTCAAGAAACTTTTTTTCTTCAAAACTTGTTCTCTTGAAACTAGATATAGATATATTTCTTTCAAGAATTTTTGTCTCTTGGTTCAAGATAGGCGATAACATTGATTCAAGATGTTACCGACTTGTGTTAAGAATGGCTTTTTTTTTTTTGAGTCATTAATTAATTTACTTATTTCCAAGAAATAATTTTTTTTTGGTATAACAATTAAAGACTATTTAGTTTTTGATACTTTGATGAATTATTTTAAGTTTTTTAAACGATAATGTTATTTTGATTGAAAAACTTAAATGTTTCGATTGAAGATAATACAGCTTTTAAGCCAAGAAAATCTAAATCAAGACAAGAAATTCTTGAAGCAAAATAATCATTTGTCTTCCAAAATAAATTCTTAGATCAAGAAAATATCTCTTGAGTCAACATAAATTTTCTATCAGTGTAGAATTTCTAACTATTTCCGGACCTGAAACATTTTACTGAACGATGTTGACTTTTTTCGGATAGAAATATGACTTTCTATAAATTTTTGAGATTAATCTCTCGTCATCTGTCTTAAAATATTAAACGAATATAAAAAAATAAAAGTTTATATGCAAAAAAGATTTCTTAAGAATTATCGAGCTTTATTTTTTATCAAATTTTTAGTTTTTGAATTTCAAAAAATTTGTTCAAATTATATTATAATGACCAAAAGTCGAATCGAACAGACTTACGGAAAGTTTATTACTTCAACTAGTACATTAAGTAAATTATTATTTCATAGATGGCTTTTAAGCACCGTACTATTAAAAGCTGAGTAAGCGCTGAGTTAACATAATTATTATAAATAGCAGTTTATTGTAGGTATAGAATAATCCGACTTAAAGTTTTGCTTTGGAAGAGGATGGAAATGTGAATTAATATTTAAATTATAATTTATTTATGATTTTTTACATTAAAAAATAAAAAGCAATTTGACTCATTCGCAGATGATTTACTATTATTATCAACAGTATATGGTGAAGAAATTGTATTTATATTGATGTGAAAACTATTGTCAGTCAAGGAAAAGAATCTTGAATCATGAAAATTATTTTGAAGCATTTCACTGGTCTTAAACCTAGCAGAAAAGTTTTTGAACTAAGTGTCAGTAAAATAATTTTTTGTTATACTCGCCCCAAAAGTTCAACTTTTAAGCGCTGGGTGGCGTCCGAAAAGATACTCATATCTAGAAACTCTACCATACCGCCTTTTTTCCGCGGCCTAGGCCGCAAAGTTTACTTTCCCCTTCTTTTCCGTACTGTCCTTGTGCAATCGGATGAAATTTAGAACAAAATAAATCAAATTCTAGTGTACCGACCGATGGATTTTGAGTAAATTTTAAATTTAGTTACTATTGAGTGGCGCTAATTCTTTCTCTGCTGACAGTTTATTACGAAGCGGACCTAATGTTAATAAAACAACAAGCGCGTTATAAATAAATATTAATAAAAAGATAATTAATATAAAATTAAGTTTTTTTGCTATTGTGAAACTTCATAAAATTTGAATGTCATTATTTGCCTCCTATTCCTCAAAAGTTAAACTTATGGAGTGATAATAACAAAAAATATTGTATGTCATTTGTCCACTAAGTGGTGATTTTGACAACGACGATTTTACGATATTCGCTTTAAAGTTTGTGACGCGAATTTACGAAAACGAGCGTAAATTTCCGTCCTCGGCTTCGCCTCGGACATTAAAATTACGCCCGTTTTCGTACATTCCCGCCACGAACCTTAAGCTCATATTGCAACATCGTCGTTGTCAGAAAATCGCCACTTTGCGGCCATATGACATAAATTACTATTCTGATATTGTTTGATATGCCCGAATAAAATTTTTTACATATCCTGATAAGCTCGTATATAGTCTGATAAAGCTAATTTTCATATTGGGCCTATCATACATGGGCATTTTAAGACATATCCCACTTTTAATTATGCGAACATATAATCTTTGAATCAAAGTTAGTATTAAAAAACTTCAACAGAGGGTGCATTATTGCTGCATTGTCACATTACAAGACAACACATTTCTGGAAAAAATAAAAAATTGGAAAATTATGATAAATTACTTTTTTCTCCTACCCCATGCCTCTCGCCTTCGGCTCGGGTGGCAATCACACACGCGGGACAGACTGTAGTACTTTCGTCCCTTGTGGCACAATATACTATTTTACTCTCATATATAGCCTTATGTGACTGATCGTATATTGCCATATATGATCATATCAAACAATTTATTTACGGGTAATTTTTCTTGAATTAAATGAATGTTATTTGGTTCAAGATTATTTTTTTTGAATCAAATTAATTTTTATGTTAGTCGACAATTTTCAAAGATAGTGGCTCATTTTGATTATAGGCTGAGACTATTCGGACACTGTAGCGTGAGTTTAGCGTGAATATAAGATTTTTTAACCAATAGCGTGGCATGAAATTTCTAATATTCACGCTAGCCACACGCTGAATCCACTCACATTGTCCGAATAGCCTTACCGTCGACTATAATACGACTTTTTTTATTAATGATGAATGATTGTTGTGCAATATTAGATTATTAAAATTTATAAAGTATACTTAAGACGATGAAAGGATAAATGAAAATTGAAAATCTAAATAAGTAGAACATTTATTTTCTTATGACTGTAATATTTGTTTTAGGCGCAATATTCACGGATGATCAAAAAGACAGTCCCTCGGAGTTGGCATTTAAGTATGCTATATATAGGATCAACAAGGATAAAAGTCTTCTACCGAACACAACACTTGTATATGATATTCAATACGTGCCAAAAGACGACTCTTTCAGAACGTCTAAAAAAGGTCAGTACAATAAAAATAACACAGAAATAAAAGTCAACACATAAATTATTGTATACAAACTTGTATAAAGTTTCAAAGTATTGTCTTGAGTCTTAATGTTAACATTGTACTCTAAAATTGATTCATACCATACTGCGTTTATATTTATAGTATTTATACAAGACGTATTTAGTAATTTATCGTACACAATAGAATAGTTGGAAACTTTAAAGTTGCCATTCATAAACCAAGCAACGTTTAAGATTTCTCATAAGCATAAGATTTCGTATTTAATAAAATAAATATTTTGCATCGTTTTCTTGTAGTCTTGAAAAATTTAATTGGATCTTTATCTTACAATAAACCGAATACTATTCAATTTTGAACGTTATAGTTCTTAATCCGACAGTACTACACGCGATTCAATATAAGTTAAAATAATTTTTCTGTGATCAAATCAGTGGTCAATAAAAGGAAATTCTAGCTCGGTAATAATTTAATTTTTCTTCATCATATAAAACCAAATACTAGTATTTATTCGAGTTGTAATCTCTTGTAATTCCAGAGAGTACAATAAGTTCTTACCCAAGTGAAACCATTCCAAGACATGCCATCAATTATTTTTATTTATATAATACAGTAAACTCAGTAAGACCTATAAAAATTGGTCAGATTTCTTGTAAAAAGAGCTACAGAAACTCCGTAGTATAAATCTCTAGGTATTGTGAAGTAAATGGTTTTATATCAAGTCTACTTTTTTTAAGGCCACTGATTTATTGCTTTTTTTTTCTTTATAAATCAAAAATCATAATATTTTTGGGTTGTACTTTTTTCTTCTTTACACACCTGAACTTAATGTTTATAAATTGTAATATGCGCATTTAAAGGAATTTGGATCCTCTATCTAACGAGACGTCATGCCTATAATGAATTTATTCACAATTTACGTTCGTTACCCGAGTTGAAAAAATTAACTTAAATGAACTTAACTGCTATAAAAAACAATGGACTTAAGCTTATCTACGTTCATTTTTTCAACTCGGGTATCTCTACAATAATGAAATTTGTATCGTTTCGGTTCTCACTGGTTAGTGATTAAAACTTTCGTGACAAATCTCAATAAACTATAGGCAAATATATCACGATGAAAAACTGCTCGTGACAATGCCGACGTAAACATTGTTATAAATTGTTACTCATCATTTTTGAACTATGACCGATTTAATCTCAATTAAAAAGAGTTTTGAATACTCGAACAAAACTCATGTTCAAATAAAACCATCAATGTTGAACACATTTTATATGTTTTATAGGTTTTCTCGTCAAGTCTTATCTGCATATCCTTGTTTAATGTTAAAGGTGATGAGATTTATTTCGATGTGTGATATAGAATACAACGATATAAATCAAAATCCATCAAGGGAAAAATCATACCTTGCGTTACTATTAAAGTACTCAATATGCACACTGATAGAAGGATTTGTTTATAGTTAAAAATATTTGTTAATATTTAATAAATCATTTATTAGAGACCACTTGTTAGTCCTTAACAAATATTTCCCAGTATTTAAAAAGATTTATTAATATTTAATAAATGAATATCAAATTTCTTAAATACAAACAAATTATTTTAAATAATTAAGAAATATTTGTTTAATACTAAAAAGTGGTCTCTAATAAATGATTTGTTAAATATTAATAAATATTTTTTAACTATAAACAAATCCTTCTATCAGTGCACGCACAGCGAAATAGCGTATTTATGATGAAAATAGTGGACAATAACCATTGATTCTTTTTGGCTAAACATTTGAAAAATTTAATTTATGCTTTTAAAAATAAATTGACAAGATTTTGGCATTAGACGTTGGCATATGTCTTGAATGCTTTCGCGTAAGTAAAAAGTAAAAATTAATGTTACTTGTTTTAATTTTTTCTCAAAATCTATCCCTACATTAAAAATTTTCCGATTATTGAAAAATTATAGAAGATAATTTGGATACTTTATAATTTATTCTGTTAATTATAGAGCGTTCCTAAAAAGGACGTAGATAAAAAAAATTGTATTTTAATTTTTTATCGTTTCAAATCAGAAATTGAATGTGTGGAATTTCTGCGATGATCAAAATTGAAAATTTCCTAGAGTGTTGGGATGTTAAACGTCGGGATTTGATGAAAGCTTAATTTTTGAAGTTCTGACTAAATTCACTGATTACTTGACTTTTTAAAAGTATTCAAACGTTTTAGCCAGAAGTTCAAAAGGTTAACTTCAAACTGTACAATCTTAAGACACCACAAGTTTCAATTATTTTTTATCAGTAACTCTTGTAATCAGGTGTAACAAAAAAAAACGTCTTCTTATTTAGTAGTATTGACAGATTTCTTAAATTTAAACGATGCAGGGGAATGCATAATACAGCTAAGGCTGAATATATTGAGTACTTTAACCACCACATTGCGCTCGAAAAATTTAACTTTGAAGCAGATGTTGCAAAAGCTATCACAGCATGTGAAAAAATTTAATTTAAAAAGTATAAAGTATAAGGATTGGTTTATCTTTTACGTGTTTTCAATTCAATACTTTTATCATTTGGAATCTTCTTATTGACTAAAAGTTTATGTTTACTTTAATGGCAGAAACTTTTTTTCAAAGAAATTCAATTCTTGATACTCTTTACAGGTAAAAGTTACTATTTATTAGTTTTTTTTCTTATAGTGAGTAATTATAAGGCTGGAAAATGACGCGATTATAAAAATTGCCAGATAAATGGTAACATTGGAATATGTGGTGATATAATGGTTGAAATAAACCAAAGCCAATTGGCTAAGTGTTTAACTATTACATCGCTACATTACTAGCAGTTCCGCAAGGTTTTCAGAGTGCCTCAATTAATTCAACCACCATGCATGTCGACGATTGCACCGAGCATTTCCCAGTTAGACATGATGAGTCTGCAATACATTTGTGGCTCGGTGCTACGTAAGCTATAAAATCCAAATTCGTTTCCAATTTATCCAACAGTGTATTTTAAAGAGACAATAGGTGTGAACGTCATTTTACTGAACTAGTTGTAGCAAATAAATACCATCATTTTCCATTTCACTAACTTGAAAAAATTTCTTAATTGATTATATAATTTAATTTGGTTTTTCAGGAGAGAATTTATTTAAAATTTTCGCTACAAAGTAAGAGAAAATTAGTAGTGAAAAGAGAATTTCGATTGCTGACGGAAAGAGATTTGTAGTTGAATGTAGGGTAGGGCGGGGCTAGTTGATCACTTTTTGATTCGACCTTCCATAACTTTAAGATGATGTATCGGATTTAATCAAGTCATGTACTGTTAGGTTCGTAATTTAGTCTTCTTCAAAAGGTCTAGCGACACAAAAACGATCCGAGTCCAAATTTTCAAGTTATTCCCGGAAATACGCGAGCGCTCCAAATTGCTCAACGTGCCCCACTAGTGAGGCTAGTTCAGCATGGGTATGAGGCTAGTTGTGCAAATGGCTAAAATAGACGAAATGACTGTATAGAATGATATGAAAACAAAATAAAAGTGTAATTAACGAGCAAATATTTGATTTATTATAATTCTACATACGTATAATTATGATTATAATAATAATTATAAACATAACAATATTAATTATAATTATGTTATATACCCGTTAATATAATATCAATATGAGTTATTTTAATTTTTACACATCATAATAAATCACTACATGTACAAATCAATTGATAATTATTAATTTAGTAAAGAAAAATTTCATTTTTCAATATTGAAAATCT